CATGGAAGGAAGAGGTCACCATGGCAGATGTTCTCCAGGCGGTGCCACGAGTGACACCAAAACACACGAGGCTTCGACTGTGTTTCCAGGGGAAGCCCATGGCACAAGAAGGACTCCTCTCCTCTTGATGAACTGAGGATTGATTGTCTAAAAGGTGGTGCTGGACCGAGAGTTGGTGATTTGAGGAATAGATGTATTGTGTTGGGAATTTGATGGGGGGAGGAGGAAATGCATTTGTAAGGTTTTCATTTTCCCTGTGTGTGTGTTTCTTTTTATTTGTAGTTGTAGTGTAGTTAATAAAGTTTTGTTTTCTTTCTTCCCTAAGTAGGAGCCTGCTTTGCTTATTCCTGGTCACATCTCACAGCAGCTACCAGGGAGAGGATATCTTCATGGGGGCACTGGCATTGTGCCAGTGTCAAACCATGACAGACCCTTCACCAGCTTTGATGCCCTTCTTTGGACATGCAACATTTAAATGATGTGGAGATTACACAGTGCCAGAACAGAGCTGTAGTTATGATCTGGGAGAACAATCACTGCTTGATCTGTGGAGAAAGTGAGGGGCAACCAGCAGCCACAGATCATCCACAGAGTTCAAAGCTGCCTGCCAGACACCAGCTCTGGAACCATTTCTCTCTAAGCTGGTGATGACTGGGCCGAGTGGAAAATTAGATCTGAGAGTTTCAGACATTTGATTTGAAAATAAAAGGTTCTGTAAGAGAAAAAGAATATCTGAATATCTCTGCTGTGCTTCCAGGAGCCAAAAGATACCATACAGTCCCTCAACTAAATGGCAGAAGATCACCACTAAACAAACATTTTGTCTCCTGACATCCATGAAAAGTCTTTTTTTTACCCTTTAGTTTCAAGTAAAGGAGAAATCAGTTGGAAATTCTGTCACAGACCTTTCATGCCTTCACAGAAAGCTGCAATTAGCCAGCAAAGGTGGTGATGAAAGGTTGAGTGATCCCGTGGTCTGTACCATGAGTGATTGCTGGAAGATGGAGATGTTACAGAGCTTGAGAAAGGCACCAGGACAGCTGTGGGAGTGCAGCATCAAGAAGCAGCAGGACACATCAGAGGTGACATCATCTGGGTCACTGCCCAGATGCAGCTTTTTAAAAAGCAGCAGTTGTCTGCTGAGCTTTTAGCAGACTTCCAAAGCCATCTCATCTGAAAGCCACTAGATTTTCAAGTGATGGTCAAATTCTTAGTATCTGCACTTAATCTGGACATCTTCTTAAGCAGCAAAATGTGGAATATATCCTTAGGTATTGATATGTTCCAATATTTCAGTACTTTTGTGAGATTTGACTGTACTGGTAAGGAAGTGTCAATTAGGAGTCTGTTAGGAAGTGTCAATCAAAATATGGCAATTCAGATGCCTACCCTTTGTCATGGTCTCTGTGCATGAGGTATTTTTAGCACTTAAGGCCAAAAAGAAACAGCTTGCTGTTCTTCTGTGAATATATCATGAACCTGGGCAAAGACAACCTCAAAAAAGGACATTTCTGAAGCTTTCAGACTATCCTTTTGATGGATGTTCAAGGTGTTGCTTTGAAGGCTGGAAGCCCTTCATCATCAGTAACAGAATAGGGGTAGCATATGTCTTATATTTTATGCACTTCATACACTACCCAAAGTCAACAAAGACATGTAAAAATAGAAATATAAATGTTTTGAATCATCTGGACATGCGACTGCTTTTGATATCTTATCACAGACCTCACTAAATCAACAGAAATCAATGACAAACCATTGGTACCAACTCATTATTAGAAGAATTCAGCCTCATCTCCTTTTGTTTGCAAAGTATCTGAGATTCATGTGATGACAGTCCTTTGGTCTAGTATATTTTTAAATATTCCATAGCTGCCTGTTGTTATCCCTACAACATATAAGCAGGAACTGTATTTAGGAAACATGTAGCATCTCTGGAATTTTTAGCAGAATGTATCTCTCCTGCTTTCCTGTGAAAGCATCACCCATTCTTGCCAGCCAACTATAGTCCAGAATGTAATGGAGATGTGTGGCAAAAATATCTCCCCTTGCCACAATGTCCTACTGAGCAGACATGGGGTTTGGTTTTTGGTTTTTTTTTGATTATGCTATGCTTACTGCCACAAGATCAAATGAGAGCTAAAATGCTATTAATGCCCTCAATGACATCTTCTTAGCAATAAATTCAGTCAAATATAGCAAGATGGAATGACAGAGTCTAGGCCAGATGTCCAGGGAGACCTGAGACAAGCAATTCTGAACAGCTGCTGGCATGAAATCCAGCATTTGCAACACTTCACAACCCTTCACATTTCAGTAGCAGTACCAGGGCTGGAGGACTCATCAGTGGTCAGTACAAAAAAATCTTCCTCCCATTTCCACCCTTTGATTCATGTGTCTCCCTGGAGCTTACACAGGATTATGTCTATTAAAACCAGAGCCTGGCTGTGGCAATATATGCTTTTGTCTCAGGATGTGCACAAAATAAACAGCAGTTTGGCATGAGCCCTGCTCACATTTTCCACCCACCCCGTGGTTTTTATGTTCATGTCTTATGCAGAGCTGTCATCAAAACCACTCAAAGTTAACTGCAACAGCTATTAAAAGTTTGATCTTCTAAGCATGTAGAAGGCCCAGCCATCACAGTGAACTGCTTTCCTGTCCCTACTGCATTAGCATGGAATTTAAAAGTGGTACATGCACAAGAAATCACTTGGTCCTGTTCTCCATCTCCATTCTCTCATCCCCCAAAACATTTCTACCTCACACATGCAGGTAACAAAAAAAGTAACTGATCTCTAATAGAATATTTCTGCTGGAGGTGCTCTCATTACCTCATCCTCTGTTTCAGCAAGATTTTCATGGTTTTTTAGACCTGATCTAAACATCGTGCCTCTTAAAAGCTTTCTGCATGCAAAGCAATAAACTAAATAAGTATAATAACACCGATTCTGCTAAAGAGCACCTTTTCTGTTTTAAATGCAGGAGGAAAAAATCAGGGAAGACTTTGGGATTGTGTATTTAAGGGTAAAAACTTACAATGCAGGAGAAATTGCAGTCAGAGGTGAGAAGTGGGACCATGAGAGAGGAGTAGCCCCAGTACAGAAGGAGGCTCAGGGGGTGCTCCAGGTGCCAGAGCAGATTCCCCTGCAAACCCATCCCAGCCCATGGAGAGGCAGCTGTGCCCCTGCAGCCCAGGGGGGGCCATGGGGAGCAGAGATCCCCCTGCAGCCCCTGCAGGACCCCACACAGGAACAGGGCAATGCCTGAAGGAGGCGGTGACCCAGCCCATGCTGGAGAAAACTCCTGGCAGGACCTGTGGACACATGGAGGGAGCAGCTGAGGAAGAGTGTGAGGAGTCCTCCCCCCAGGAGGAAGGAGCAGCAGAGATGTGCTGAACTGAGCACAGCCCCCATTTCTCACTGAGCTCACCAGTGCAGGTGGAAGCAAACACCTTGGGGAGTGACTATCATCCAGGATGAAGGATGGTCCTTTGCAATCCAAGGAGAAGGGTTATGCTGGCCTGTGTGGACACTGGGTGGGCTCAGAAAGCCACAGACAGATGGTTTTTCTCTGACAGGCAGGTAAAAGATTTCTTTGAGCAGGCAACAAATGATGTCCCAGGTACAAAGCAGAGTAAACACTTGCTTTGGAAAAGGAAAGTAAGAGAATTGCAAAAGAAAATCACATTTTTGGTGTTCAGCAGCTGCAACAGGAGGTTGTTTGAGTTGGTCAAGTGTGCCAGTTGGAAGAGTTTACCATTTTCTACTAGAGCCCAGATGTGTGTATGATTACATAAGATTTTCACAGAAAAAAACCAAGCTCCTTCAGTCTGCATAGCTTACAGTTATTATTCCCCATGACTTCCATTTGTATTGGGATTACATCCTCCATTACCCATTTATGTTTAGGCTAAAAAAGCAGAACCATCTTGATATTGCTGGGTAATGTCAACTAGACTCTGCCTGCTTGCACTTGTCACTCCTTAAGGACTCTACATAAACCCAGAGCTTTTTTTCTTACAAAGGGAGATTCCAGAAAGCAATAACAGATCTTCACAACATCAGCTACGAGGCCTGCTCACAGTAATCAGAACAAACACTGCAAAAAGCAGCAAAACCAGGCATTTTTCAAGGAGTCACTAAGAACAAGAGAGGGAATTATCAGTGGTGGAAGAGCAGGCTGTGTGATTGCTGCTCCTATTTAATTGCTGGGAGATAGCAGCCACAATGCCATTCCCATCCTCTTCACCAAGGAGCTGGAAAATAAAGGTCATTTATGCAGTGCAAATACCCCACACTTTTCACCATTAAAAGTCATTCAAAACATCACCAATGCTTATGCTGTTGGCAGCCAGAGCACTAGAGAACACCATTTGTCAGTAGAGTTGAGATGCTGAGAGGCTGAAAAGCATAAACATCCCTTTGCTTCCTTAAGGATCATCCCCAGCAGCACTCAGAGCATTCTCTCCAAAGTACAGTGCTAGAAAATAAAGGGGGAAAAGGTCCTATGCAAAGTAAACCAAAATCTGGATATAAATAAGATGTCACTATTCATATTCAGTAGTCCAAATTATTATAAAGTACTTGAACTATATCAGAGCCAAAAGTTAATTCATGGTTTACTCTGGAAGCTGACCTATAGTTCGTACTGTCTTCCCAGAAAAACCCATCACATCTCCTGTAGTAAAATCATAGAATCACAACATCAGAGAATACTTTGGGTTGGAAGGGCCCCTAAAGATCACCTAATTCCAAATCCCTGCCATAAGCAGTACTCCACTAGATCAGGCTGCTCAAAGCTGCAGCCAACCTGGCCTGGAACAGTGATCTCTTACTGAGTGGAACTGGGTAGAACACATGAAAATAAAGAAGTATAAGCATGAAAGAAAGCAATCATACTTTTTCATATCTACATGAAATTAGCATATCTAATATTCTAATATTCATATCCATGAACTGAACCTATTCTAATTCTGCAGAAAGGAAAGCTCTACTTACTCTCACAGAGACGCCTCCTCAGCTTCCCCCGAATTTTATCGATGGCGTTGTAATCAGAGACATGAAACACGTGAGCAGACTTGGGCTCTGAAGCAATCTCATCAAGTTCCTCTTTTAAGGCTTCTCCAACACCCACAGCAAAAATCCTAATCCCAGCCTGATGGGCTGCAGTGGCTGGATCCAAGACAAAATCCTGGCTCCTTCCATCAGTCAAAAGGATGGCCACTTTTTTAACAGTTCGATCACTAAGTCTCCCACCAGCTTCTTTGGAAAAACTGTAGGTGGTGATGTACCTGAGAGCATCTCCAGTGTTGGTGTTACCCCCATAGTACTGAATCTGTCGTGCAGCCTCTTTGATCTCCTCACGGGTTTTGTACTTGCCCAGGTCGAACTCCGTGGTCGGCCGATCGCTGTACCGCACCACCCCCACTCGGGTCTTGTCTGGGCCAATCTCAAAGGTTTCCACCAAATTGGACACCCACTGACGAACTTTCTCAAAATCTTCTTTCCCAACGCTGGAGGAGGCGTCCAAGAGGAAGACAAGGTCGTAGTGAACACTCTTGCAACCTGCAGGAGAGGCAGAAAACATTGTTAATGGGGAGATGAATGCAGAGGACCAGACATACCAAACTTCCCTCGACACAGCTCCCTAGTGAGCAGTTTGGAGGAGGCAGCAAACCCTCTCCCTATCTAGCAGAGGAAGAGCAGATTCCCAGCCCTTCTTCCTTGTGATTCACCTCAGCAGTTTCAGGAAATCTACAGAGCAGCACAGACTTGGCTTTGAAATGCAAACCCTTTCCATTCCTCTGCTTCTAACTCCTTCTGCTCAATCCTTCAGCTACACCCCTGCATGAAGATATTTTTCTCTGACTTCATTGCAGTGCCTTTGCTCAGGCAGTGCTCTGAAATGACCTGGACAGATCAAAAGCCCTGTCCTGACCTTGCCTATGCCAATCCTGACCCTGAGTAATGAAACTTTCATTTCCCCTCTTGCATTAATGTTATGATTCATTTATGCTTAGCTAGAAGCAGTACTTTTGCCCAGCATGATATGTTGATGTAGCAGATCTGTAACAAGATTATTTCAAATTTGAGGATTTCTGCCACTGTCTATTGACTAAAGGATGAATTACTGAATTTTAGAATGTGTCCCTCAATAACAAAGGGCAGCCTGCCTTGTAAGGGAAAAGTTCACTTAGCCCCACAACCATCTCTTTGCCTCCAGCCATGATATTTGCAATGTGAGGCCTGTATAATCCAAACCAAAAAGCTATTTTAATTGCAACTTGCTTGCCCTGTATCAATCCAGACTGGTTGCATATTTGTCAGACCCTTGCCAAAAAAAAGCAGATCTCTCAGGAGATGTTTCTTAGCTGTTTCTGGATACATGCAAGTTGGGAAACAGCAGGTCAATAAAAGTGCCACTGATGCCAAGAGTTATCAATATAATGCCCCAACTGGACAAAATGTGTATAGAGATGCCTCTATTTATTTAAATCAGTTTTATAGACCACAGAGTTTTAAGACTGAAAGCTGCTCCACAAAGTCAGTTTGGTCACAGCTGCCAACCATTGCTTCTCCAGAAGTTCTTGTCTCACCTTGTCTCAAAAAGTGCAACTGCATGTTTGACCAGTGGTAAAGTTACACATTTCCTACTGAATTCCAGCATTTGAACCTACAGGAAGGTCACAGATTCTTCTCCCACACTCAGGTTTTGACACAAATTAGCTCTGGATCTTTTTGCTCATCCCAGGGTTGTCACCCTGCCTGGAATGGAAGATTTCCACAACAGCCCATGGCTCTGGAAAGGAAGGAGTGAATAGCTCAGCTACACAGAGAGGATTTGCCTTCAGAAAAGAGTAAAAGTGTTATAAAAGAGTAGGTCAGTGCTCAAGGCATTACATGATGACCATGAGATTGGATGTACACCTGGAGTGTGGCAGGTGGTGAGAAAGGAGCATCATCTGCTGCTGTGTTGACTTCTGTAGCAGAGCACATCCCAGCACATCCCAGCTGCTGCAGGACATGTGGGAACAACCTCTGCACATGGGACTGGGATCATATTGGGACCAGCCCATCCACAGGGGATCAACCTGTTGTTGTGGTTTAACCCCAGCTGGCAACTGAGCACCACACAGCCCCTCACTCACTGCCCTCAGCAGGACTGGGGGGAAGAGAATTGAAAAGGTGAAAGATGGAAAACTCATGGGTTGAGAGAAGAAAGTTGAAATGAAATGAAATAAATAATAAAATAAAATAAAATAAAATAAAATAAAATAAAATAAAAATTAAGTTGTAATGAAAAGCAAAATAACAAAGATATATAAATAAAACCCAAGAAAGAGGAGTGATGCAAATGAAAACAGTTGCTCACCACTGACTGAGTCACAGTCTCCAAGCAAGAGTCTCCAGCCAAGTGTCCCCCCAGAGTTTTATTTCTGAGCATGATATGGTTTGGGATATCCCTTTGTTCAGCTGGGGGCAGCTGTCCCAGCTTTGTCCCCTCCCAATTTCTTGTGCTCTCCAGCCTCTTGGCTGGTGGGGGAAGGAATGAAAAAGGCTTTGGCTCAGTGTGAGCTCTGCTCAGCAGTAAAAAAAACATCCCTGTGTCATCAACACTGTTTCCAGCACAAATCCAAAGCACAGTCCCTGAGCAGTTACTGTGAGGAAAATTAACTGTGTCCCAGCCAAAACCTGCATGTGGGACTGTGTTCTGTGATGGCACTTTGTGAGTGAGGGAGTGCTTGTCTCTAACTCCAGAGCAAGAAAATCTGTCTGGGAAAACTCTCTCCAAGGCAATCTGAGACTGGACATGATGGTTTATACCATTTTATGTTATGGCATGCAAGTTACAGCTGTGAATATCAGCTGGGCTCTCAATTGTGGTTCTGCTTGATTTTTGGAGAATATAAAAGGTAAAAAAATTAACAGTAAAAGGTAAGAAAGAAACTTACACTTCCCCACCTTGCCTCCTTCCTAAATTCATTATTATATTAATCTATTCTGGCTGAAAGAATGTTAATTAGGTGAGACTAAGTAGAGATCAATACCCACAAGACCTTCCTGTTACTTATTTTAATGACTCTCAGCAGGTGAGACAAGAGCAATTTCAAAACAAACAGAACAGACAGAATGAATCCTGTCTGTGTTCAAGGGCAATGAGGCTTAAAACAAGGGGGAGTTAAGGTTTAAAAAGTGTTGCCTACTCAAGGCAGTATTGCAGGGAGGAAAAACATGGTATTTCAGGATCATTTTTTTTTGCATTGGTGATTCTTTGCTTACAGACCTGGTGGCAGTGAGATGAAGTGCTGCAGAAATGCTTTTAGTAAATATTAATCTACATTTTCAGCACTTTAATGTCCACTGCTAGACAAAATTGATTGTTTTCCAAGAATGCCATAACAGTACTTTTTACTGGCAGAAACAATTCCATTTGTGTTAAGGGAATACGGGAGATAGCTCATAGAAAGCAAAATTTCAGTTTTGTAATTGCAGAAATGCTCTCTGGGAGCATGATTCAAAGAGTTGTGCTCATCTACTCAGACACTGAACCAACTGTTTTGCAATATTTCCTTTAAAAATAGTTCACAAACAAGCCATAAGCCCAAAATTATTTAAAGTAAGCACAGAATGAACATATAAATGGCTTCACTATATTCTGCCTGTGACAGGTCCAGAAGCAGGAAAAAAAGTGAGATTTCACTTTGTTTGGTTACTAGGTATTTATTTCTGGTAAACTTCACCCAAAAAAACTATAGAGAGATCACATAAGAAAGCTGTAAAGCAGCTATTCCTTAAACTGAAAAAGGTCTAAAAAAGCCTTTCCTTTCTTCTAAATTATCCAAGCCCACAGAATAGCAGCTTTCCTAGAAAAAGAGACAGAAAATCTTCATCTCAAAATGCCTTTGGACTCTTATAAAAAAATTGTGTGGGTCTACAACCATTTTTAATTTGAGGTATGGCATCACTGATGTCAGATACATCTTCTTGCTGCTACACAAGAACCAACGTGTCTTTATCAAGGATCCCTGTAAGAACAGTCCCTGAGCTACACCATCCTCTAATGCACTCAGTAGCATTTGGGAGAGAGTGTTCATGAGCCCAGGCCAAAAGCTGTGCCAGAGACCATGCTAATAACCAGACAGGAGAGAAACATAGAATCCTAGAGTCATTTAGGTTGGAAAAGACCTTTAAGATCATGAAGTTCAACCATTAGCCTGGCATTGTTAAGTCCATCCATGTCCCTAGGCACCACATCATCGTATCCCTCAAGTGTCTGGAATCAGAGGAGGATATGAACCGTGCCCTGGCCCTGTTTAGCTCACAGGAAAGTCCCAGCCAGGCAGAAGATTCACCAGGTCTCATCTGACACTCACAGGAGGCGATGGAAGAAGTGATCACCTCCATGCCATGTGGGGTAGATGGAGCACATCCAGAGCAAGCTGTGGTGAGCTGCTCCTCTTGCTGTGGGCAGCTGAGCTAAACTTTCTACGCCTGCAGCAGAACCAAAGACCCCAGGTAAATCACAGCCTTAACCCCTGAGCTTTCTCCATCCCTAAGGCCTGTTTTACGTATTTCCAGCAGTAAATATCTTGGGTTGTTTATAGATTTCCTCCTAGAACTGATGTTTCCCACCATGGGAGAGCCCACCAGCTCGGGGGCGTGAGGCAGCGAGCGGAGCGCGTACCTGCTCTCTGTGCCGCGGCTCTCTCCCCGCTGAGCACCAACGTGACAAGAACCAGGAGCTGGGGCACACGGCACCTTCCCACCATGCACGTATCCATATCTCCTCTCTCACATCAGCTCCTTTTTTCTCCAGGGTGCGAAGCTTGCTGGAAATCCAACCCGCAGCCTAGGAAGGGAAATAAAGAGCAAGTGTTATCTCACAGCAGCGCCAACGGCAGTAATGATGCAAGGCATGAGAGCAACGTTCTGGAGAGTCGCCTCCTCTGCCTGTCATTTTACTTGACTAGACATAAACTGCTCAGACAAAGAGGCAGGAGTTCACCTACTTTTCAAAAGCCATACTCGTTCACTGGCTCTATTCACTGTGAAGCAGCTGAATGGAAACAGGAGAGAGATTACCAGATTATTATACTTTAATTGAGCCCACTGCCAACTACACAATCAGCGCACTGGAGTGGAAACCATTCCTGGCCTGGCCCTCCCACGCATTCATCATTAGGAGATACACAACACAGAGCCCAGATACAAACCACTACAAATCACACACACAACCCGTTGCCACTTCACCCATCACTGCTTTCAGTTCTGGAGCCCCAAAACTGACAAATGCTAAAAATACACCACTGTTTTCATGCATGTATTTGTTGCCATTACTCCTTCTCTGCAGGAGTAAACTCAGCAGTTTCAAAACATCTTTCCCCTTTTTAGCTTAAAGATGTACAAAAGCTCAGGGTTATCTTCAATATAAGGTCTTTGGTTTGGGTTGACTTTGAGTGAAGTCACTGAAGTCAGAAGGTATGGTAAGAAGCCAGGCAAAGTGGCTGAGCTGTTAAAAGTTAAGTTGTGCTTTCTAACACTAGATCAACACTTTAAAAAAAATCTGTTATTGGTCTTGTTTTATTATTTTTTATTATATCATAAAGTCATTGCAGTTTGATCTACTGTTTGCAGACCCAGAAGGTAGCAACCAGCTTCCACTCTGCAGCTCTCACTGCCTGAGGCATTATTTTCAAAAACTTCTTCCCATCTCCTCATTCTTTCTTTTCCTCTTTAAGGATTCTAATGATTTCTTTGTCCATTTTCTTGGGGAAGTTGTGCCTTCTCAGCCTTTTAACATGCACGTCTGCTTCTCACTGTTGATAGCTGGGTAGAAGTCATGAAGGGGACACTGTCTGATGTAGTTCATTGCTGCAGAGTCAATTATGCCTTCTAGGGTATTTCTTTTCAAAGCAATAAGGTTCTGTGGGAATCACAGACAGGAAGAATGGTGGCGTCAGCATTTGTTCAAAACCCGTTTTGATCAGTCAGATGTTGGGCCTATCTCTACCATGTATCTCAGCATGTTGCGCTGGTTTAGGAAATTAAAAAGGGGAAAAAACTTTATGAAGTTGTCAAGATGTTGCTATAAATCCTTATCCCCACAAAAAATACAGACTCTTTCCAAAAGATAAAAAACCAGGTTATTTTCAGAAGTCTGTATCCTATGCAGACAAGGAGAAAAGCAATACATATAATAAACCATTCACTGTAAATAAAATTTGGAAGTATCTGCCAGCAGTGGAATATAAATACAAGAAAGATTAAAAAAAAAATCATATTTATTCATGTACCAACCCTAAATACAAAGGACACAATCAGGTGCTGTAGTTTGCACCTCAGCCAGACGATGTCCCTACCAGACAGTGAGGTGTTCAGGTTTGAGCCAGCTGGAAAAGGCTGCAGGGTAAAAAAGGCATGAAAATACCACTGTGCCCTACAGGAGTTAGAATTTCCTTCTAAATAAGCACGTTATTGAAATACCAATCAGGCAGCCGCCTGCAGAGGGATCAGGACAGGCATGACTTAAAATATCTGTGGGAGCCTTCAGCCCAAGGTTTCTGCTCCCCTGGATTTTTTTAGGAAACATTGTTTTTGGGTACAAGTGATGGGACAGCAGGTTTGTGGCAGCAGCAAGAGCTGGGAAACCAGATCTGCCAAGAGACATCCTGCACTTCCAGCGCCGAGCTCAAAATGTCCTTGCTCCGTATCTGGGCTTGCACGGCTGTGAAGTTTTATAAATACATTCTTAAAAACAGTCTTGGCCAGCTGCTAACCCACAGCAGGCCAGGATAAAAGGAGCAGAGCACCAGCTGGTGTCAGTCAGCAGAACAACCCGGGCCCTGTGAGCAGCAGATGCAGCTCGGTGGATGGGGCTCACTGGGTGCGTGTGGGATTCCACCCCAGCAGAAGAGCTTCCTCCATGGCCAGGCCTGAGGGCTCTGTCTCTAAGGGCTCATTCATCTCCCCTCCTTGCCAAAACACTTCAAGGACTCATTTCTGCATTTTGAGTGCTGCAAGGTGTCTCAGAGCAGCCATTTAGGCTAAAAATAGTGGGGAAGAAAAAGCCACAAATCAAATCAGAACATCTGCTTAAAATCTATAATCGTAACTTGTGGTGGCTTTAATACACATTTATGGTTCAATATTATTCTTGTATTCAGGCCAAAATATATAATTTTATCCACTTTTATAGCACAAAGAATTGAACCAAGTCTCTTAACTTGCAACTACTTTATGTACAAATATACCAGTGACAGAAAAATGCCCCTTTCATATAAACAGGACCCATGTCATGGCAATGAAGTCTTCAGAGGTGTTATAAGAAAGGTTGGAAATAAAATATTTTTAGCTATGGGTTTTCCACACTTGTTTCTTTCCCACCTCAGTCAGTCACTGTGCCCAGTTTGAAATTGCAGCAGCTGATTGCTATTTATTTCCCTTTCCAGGAGAAAAGGTCAAAAAGGAGCCAAAATTGAGACAGTTTAGTTTTCAAAGTGATCCAAGACTAAGAATTTCTCTATGTTTAACCCTATTTCCAAATGGCCAACATGGATTTTTTTTTAATTACTATTATTTTTAGTTCAGCCTATCATGTGGGAATAATTTTGCTCAAAGAGGCCTAAGTCAATGTACATCATTTAAAAATATCTCCCATTTTCTTTTTATTTCACAAACACCACTTTGGGATTCCCTTGTGATGCATTAAGGGATATTGCAAAAACAACTGACAAATCCTATCACGTCCAAGTTTATTACTGAACTGTGGACTCTGCGTCTGTCTTTTTAATAGTTTAATGGGAAAAAATGGAGTGAATACTTCTGGCTACATGCAAACATGATGTGGGAATGGCATCCTGGCTGGGAAGTTGGTGAATGTTAGAGTGAGCTCTCTACACTCAAAATACAAGCACAGCATAAAGCTATTCATACCATCTCACAGCTGAACAAACAATATGCAAAAGATAGGTACGAGTTCCATATAACTTTCAGCTTCAGGATGGCTTTTTGGGGGGGTTAGTGTAGAGTTTTAGGTCAGCTGGAATCCATGGTAAGGTCTCTCTAGTTTTGAACAATAAGTAAATACTCTTTGTGGAATGCAGGGCAAAAAAACATCAATTAAAAAAAAAAAAGAGCCAAAGGGGAACTTGGATTTCTCAACACGGCAATTCAGGAGACAAGGATGAAAAATGTTTTTGTGCAAAATGAGAAGCAAAATTGTTTGTTTAGGAGTGACATCTCAAAAAAAATAAAAGGAAAGACACAGAGTGGGGCAGACACAGGGAATGTGGCAGAGAAGAAAACTTCATGGCACTTCTAGGAGAAGCAATTTGCAATGGCTCTGGATATACCCTATCTCAGCCTCTCCAGATACTGCTCTTCTGTCCTGGTTTGAGAGATGTTTTGCCACAAACAGCAAAACTCACGTGAGTTAGAGATGGAAAATCACAGAACACTTTCTCTGATCTCCTTCATTCTTCAGAGCAGTGATTCAGCCACAAATATTCATAAAACAAAACAAAATAAAGCTGGAGTCACAGTAAGATGAGCATTTCAGGAGTGTGATTTAATAAAACGTTTTCTACCTCATGTGAGCAAAAGTTCAAAGACCCTACAGGGACAGAACAAAGACCACTAAATCAAAGTTAAATGTTAAAAGTATGCCCAGTTATGTACTTTAGACTCCTCATTAAAATATTCGAGCTCTTGCTTGCATATTACTAAATTACACCACTGAATTGTTTGTCTTACTGTTAAATTCAAGGGGGGCTGATTCTATTATTGTGCTTGATTTCATCCATTCGTCTGCTGCCACTGAACATCACCATATGCCATATAAATGTTGTAACTATGCTGGCATTCATAATGTGATTTTAAATGTCTTTGGTATGCTCCTCTGAAGAAGAGGTTAGCTGGGGGTGAAAAAGACAGTGTCCAATTATACAGCTTTTCACACACACACAAAAAAGAAAAACAAATATAAAACCCAGCACACTAATACATCTGACATCTTAGTAGAGTCAGCTTGTTGATTGTGCTTCTTCCAACTACTGAACTAAGCAATTTAATTATCTAAATTATTGCTGATATGAGCAGGAAGCCAACTGTATAAAAGAGAGATGGGACTTTCTTCCCTGCTGATCATCCCATGGGTCGTATATCTTTGTTCAATGATTTTTAAAGAAATTATCCGATGGCATTTCTGGAAGATCTGCATCTTCCCAGGCCTGATCCAAAGCCAACTGCAGTTAATGAAAAGAGGAACATTGATTTCAGTGGACATTGTTTAAAAACCCATGTGAATAATAGAGCAGAAAATTCTCTGCTAACACCAGAGCTATTCCTGAGGTACTTTGCTCAACTACAACTGAGCCCAAGTCTGCTGAAATCAAGGAGGAGAGTGTCAGCAGACCCACAGTATGCTGGATGAAGCCATTCATGCACCCTGCTAGCAAAAAACTCTTCAACATCTGCTCTAAGTGCTGGTGAGGCTGCAGGTGGTGGGACATTTCTTCTCTTCATTTGCAATGATAGAATCACAGAATTGTTTGGGTTGGAAGGGAACTTCAGGATGATCTCATTACAATCCCTGCCATGTCCAGGGACACCTTCCACTAGACCAGGATGCTCAGGGATCCATCCAGCCTGGCCTTGAACACCTCCAGGGATGGGGCAGCCACAGCTTCTCTGGGCTACATCTCATTTTAAGAGCAACTTCCATCCCAATCCCTAAAAAACTGATCAGATCCAGAGTGATGGTTAACATGAA